AACAAGCACACACCCGCACACACGCCGATGATAGAAGGCACGGAAATCAACAACGGAAGAAACAGCAATATGAAATTGGGAGCTCGAAAACTCCACAGCATATCCACAAAACCAATACCACACACACACATACACACAAATGCACTAAAAATACGTCTCCTCAATCACTCTTCAGGTCTGCGACGGCTCAAGTATGGGAAACAGGTGAGAGACGCCGCTCGTGTCTATTCACACGCCTTCCTCTGGCTCCTTGTGGTTGCCACCACGTATCGGCTTCACAATAACCCCGTGACCTGCTGTAATGGGCGATTCTGTCGGCGAGGTGGCCACATGCGCCAACAGCACGGTCTCCAATGCAGGTGTGCTGCTTTTGCGATGCCCACCACGCTCGACGCAGCGTTTCCTGCTGCTCATGTGCGAGTTGTTGAGGAGGTCGTCATACCGCTGACGCCAGTGGAGCGCGTCGTGGCGTGCCTCCTGCAGCTTCACACGTTGATTAGCCCGCTCCTCCCCCAACGTCCACTGCAACTTATTATTTGCTATACACTCTTGTCTCAACCCAAATTTGAGATTTTCAATGCGCTCGTGGCGGATTGCCAGCTTCTTCTCAGCAAGCTGCAGTTCGAGCGTCAGTGCTCCGTTGGTGTTGCGCAGCTGTTCCACCTCATCCATGACAACACCCATGCGTTGCATCACCATCTCGTGCTCATCATCCACAAACCGATCATCAGAGTCTTCGCTATCACTGTGTATCCCCTGCGCGTTAGTATGACGCGGCGCGACAGCAGAAGCTGCAGGAGTAGCGGCACCTCCAGACCTTTCCGGAACCTCCGGGGGAGACGATCCCCCCCTTCGGTGGTGAAGTGCCGCTGCCGCACCGCTACTCGACAGAGCCCCTTTCCCAGACGTGGTTCGCCGCGAGCTGTCGCTAACCATGTGCTGCGACGAGCCATGATTGTTCTGCCGCATATCATTGCTGCGGCGCACTGCGGAGGGGCTCGCCTCCAGCTGCGTGCGTATCGCACGCACCTGCTCCAAATACAGCGACAGCTGCCGAGGCACAAGTCCTGCCTCATCCCGCACTTCCTGCAAGAGCGTGCGGTAGTGATCCACACAACGGCGCTGAGCGTGCAACTCGCGCATAGCTTTAGTGAACTCCTCCTCCCATATTGCACTCTCTTCCTGCAGCAGCTGCACGAGTGAAGTTTGCATGGCGGATTGTGTATGGAGGAGGTCCGTTGTGTATTGGGCTTCGCGCAGTGCATCACGCAGGTGCTCCACCTCTGCCTGCAGGGCACCCAACGAGAGTTGCTCACGTGCACCTTGCTGCAGCAACGCCTCCACATTGTTGTAGTCCCCAAATTCTTCAAGACGACGCAGCCCATTTCCCGTCTGTGAGATTGATGGGCTTCGAGCTGTCATAGGCTCTGTTGAAGATTTCCTGCCAGGTTTATTCTGCAGAAGCTGCCGCAGATGCTGAATCTCAGCCTTGGCTAGGTCTAACATGCTCTTGAGTTCCTCTACTGTTAACTGACGGTTGACCACCGCCCGGTTGCACACGTTCTGTGCTCGTGCCCCAAAGCGGACCGAAGACAAAGTTTCGTGGCCATTTAACTGCGAGGGACTGCAGCAAAGAACGAGTGCGGTGCGTGAGTTGCCGCCAATGGAATCCTTGAGAATTCGCGTGAGCTTACTATCGCGATACGGCACATGTGCCTGCTTCTCTGCCAGGCACATGATCACATGTCCCAGTGTAGTGAGGGACTTGTTGATGAGCTTCGCCTCCTCTAGTTGGAGACCATCCGCTTGCGTCTTATTCACCTTCTCACACCCCGCCAGATCGACGAGGAAGAGCTTCCCCACCGTCGCCTCGTGCTTGGCGCGGTTGACGCTCCTCACTGTGATATTCAGCACACAGTGGCTTCGGCTGCTTGCGTCATTGCTTACCGTTGCCGTCGTAACGCGCCGCCGAAANTCCTCACTGTGATATTCAGCACACAGTGGCTTCGGCTGCTTGCGTCATTGCTTACCGTTGCCGTCGTAACGCGCCGCCGAAAGCTGCTGCGCACAAGCCGCAGCACCTCCTCCACGCTCGTCACATACGGCATTTCGCAGCCTTCCACGTAGAAGCCCGATGCGTCCTCCCGCACGTGCAGGTTGCCACCAGCGGGGTTCAAAAGGTCCCGCACACGTTCCATGTACACCTCAACAAACAGCACGCGTATCTCAAACTCCACCGTCTCATCGGCGCTGTGGATCGCGTGAAAGAGATGCCGCACCGCACGCGGCGCAATACCAGCGCTCTCATCGCTGTACAGATGAGATGCCGAAGGCCCCCCACCTTCATCGTGACCGTTGCCGTTGACCGCCGCATGGGGACCAAACATGGTGTGCGTCTTGCCGCTGCCCGTCTGCCCATAGACCAGCACCGTGCCATTGTACCCGCGCATCACGTCGTCTACAATAGGGCGCGCAACATCTTCGTACAGCTGCTGCTGCGTCGTGTCGGGGCTGTACACGCGCGAGAAGGTGTAGCGATAGCTCTCCACTGGACCAGTACTCGCACTCATGGAGCAGCTCTCTTCGGTCACCGCTCCACGCGGGCAGGACATCTGCTGCGCGCCACACGGGCTCGGCACAACACGGCAGATGACGTGCCGCGGGCCGTCGAAGCTCACACAGAGGGCACTGTGGCGCTCCGCAGCATTCAGTGGGCGAAACCGGCACGACACACGCACATTGTCTACGGAAGCCCCTGTAGACTTCATATTTAGTCTATATTTCACCCCTGATATATATATATATATATATCTGTCTGTCTCAGTGTCTGTGGAGGAAAACGTCGGTGTGGCAGTGCAGGGACTCCCACACTACGCCTCACCCCGTTATGCCCCTTCTACCCCGAAACAATAAAGAAATCCGTGCAAGATGCACTCAGCAGCACGGCGCTACGTGAATTTGCGGGGAGCCCAGGAGCGGCGCACGCACTGCCACAACTGCCGCTGCTGTTGAACTCAGGGACCAATTTAGCCCACGTCAAGTCGGTGTCTCGGCCAAACTTGTCCTTCTGTATTTGTTGGTGTCGTTACTTGCCTGGTGCCTCCCCTTCTTGTTTGTTTCCTCGCCTGCCTTCTCGCTTCTTCCTTCTGGGCTGCCGTGCCACTCCGAGAGAAAACCCAACAGGAAACAACAACAACAACAACAACAACAACAACAACAACAACAGAAAAGAAATGAAAGTAAAAGTGCATAGCGTGTTTGTACAGCAGCCGCGAACAAAAGCCCTCCCAGCTCCTTCAAGCACACGTCATGATGAAAACATACCAACAACAAAAGATAACCGAAAAACAAAAACGGAAGTAAGTACACAGGGAAGGAAGAGCGTAGCCGACACATCATCGCAACGTCATCATCGTAATCTCGTATCAATCCCAGCGCAACTTCGCTAGCAATGAAAACTCGGCACATGAGCGAAGCTTACTCTGCACGCAAGCCGCCGTTTTTTTTTCCCCGCCTTTTTCTTCCTGAAAGACATTTAGTTTAGAGTGCCAACCCAAAAAGAGAAGGACCTTGTGCTGTCATCAATTCACAGTGGTACCAAAACCACATAGGCATGTAGCTCCCCATCTACGGCAAGAAACAATAACAATGAAACATAAGCAGGTCACCCTGTACCAGCTGTCACCCCACAGCATTACATCTCTATAGGACAGCCCCTCACACACACCCACGGGGACTCTCTTGCACCGCACTTTCATTAAGACACAGACACCCATACTTCACCGCAAGCTTCTACTCTAGATTAGTGTCTGTTTTTTTCCCCTTCAAAACATCTAACTCTTGCATCCGCCCTGGCGGGAGCCGCTGGGCTGCTTCGCATCATGGCGGCTACTTTCGCGCCTCAACGATGTTCCGCGTTTCATTTGCGGGGGGGTTGGGCGTGGGACAACGCCCTTCGCCCCACCCCCACCGCCCTCCCCACCAGCATGCGTCTCCTCCCACGCCGTGCTGCCACGCTGCGTTGATGGCTTCCTCTGTTGCCACTGCTTCCCCAGCTGTGCCACCGTAATGATGTCTCCAGTTTTGGCAATGTTTGATCCCATGCTGTGGAACCTCCGACGGAGCGTTTCCTGTGGGCTGGTCTCGACGGACACGTTCGACCGATCCTTGGGGCGTTGCGGGAGTACCGTCCTCGAACTCCCAGTACGCCGCTCGCCCAGCGCAGGAAGCAGCGCCGCATCACCCGACGGGTGTGCGCGAGAGGTCACCATCAGCATAACGTCTTCGTTTGACGACACATCGTCGTCTTGAGAGCCCTCGGCGGAGGCAATGGGGCTGACGATGTCAACGTGTGAATAGTCTACCACTTCTGTCGCTCCCTCGCATCGCACCTTCTGTGTGTTCCTGCTTTCTTCACGGTGTTTCGGCGACCCATACTCCTGCTCCTGGCCCTGTTGCTGATTCTGCTTCTGTTTCTGCTGCTGCTGATGATGATGACGATGATGGCCTTCCGAAGGACGCCTGGAGGTTCGCGACGCATTCCCTTGCGAAGAATCGAGTACCCCGCGAGTCAGGTCTACCGGCGTAAGTACTTCTTCCGCTAAGTGTTTCGCAACCACGTGGCGTTCGTCACCTGTGCCTCTGCTGGTGCTTTCACAGGCGCCTCCGCCTGCCTTGATCGTTACGGCTATCGCTGTTGGCGTTGATTTCGCTTTCGTTTCACCTTCTATAAAGGCCAGTGTCGCGAAGGACGTGCGGTGACGCAAGCGCTGCGCGTAAGAGGTGCCATCCGTGCCTGGATCGTTGCCTTGCAGGTCCGCCGCCACTGGCGTCAGGCCTCCCACTGCTGTTTTCAATATGGATCTCGACGACAGGGCGCCATCTGTGGGGTGAACGTCGCCACTCTTTGTGGGTGCCTCGCCCACCACCGTCGATGACAGATTGGCGGGGGGCGATGGTGTTCCAGGAGCTGCGGAACCAGAAGCAGCGCTGCTTGCTGCAAGAGACTTTTCTAACCGCCCAATGACTGCGTTTTGAGCCTCCAATTTAATATGCAACTGCTGGCACTCCTTCTGAGAAATACGCTGCTCAGTGCGGAGCTCATGCACCAGGCCTGCTAATGACATCAGGTGCGAGTGAATGGTGTAGTTCGACAGCAGTTCCCGCTGCGTGTGGTGCCCCTTGACACAGCTGCCCATCAACCGAAACGGACACACCATGACGGACTCATCCACCCACCCCTCGTAGTCAACGCTGTTGGTGTTACCGTCAAGCGCAGCCAGGCCACGGAAAACACTCATCTCATCTTCTGGCGGTGGCTCTTTCTCCTTCTGACGGTGTGACTGTTTCCCCTGCTCCCGCTCTGTGTGTGGCTGAAACTCCCCGGGGCACGGAGTTTGCTTCGGTGAGAGGCAAGGCGGCGACGAAATCTTCAAGGGCAGACACTTCTTCGAGCCCTTTTCACTGCCAGCCACAACGTGTATTGAGGCGTGGCCTGAAACCTCGCCGTTGTTCTTCCTTTCACCCTCTTCGGAGGACATCAGGGAGCCAATAGACATCACGGTCTCGGCGCAGAGCAGATTGAATGGATTGGGGCGTGGTGGGGCGCTGTGATTCCCACCTCTCCCGTCCTGAAGATCCGGCGGCAACTCTCCAACGCCGTTTTCGTCAGTGCCGTGGGGCCGCTGCTGCTTTCCACTAGACGACAGCAGAGCCTTGCTTCCTTGCCCGTTCACGTCCCTCGATGTGAGTGCCCCAACGGGGCCATCGTGTGGAAGGCCTTTTCCATTATGCTCCTGTTGCTTCCTCTTCTGCGGCCGCTGTTGTTTACTCTGTTGCTGCTGTGCGACAGTAACCTTTTTTCTCTTCACAACATTCCCAGTGCTCGTGTTATGCACATCTCCTTCGAGTGGGTGCGTGTCGACACCGCTCATATGGGGTCTTGCTCTTTTTTGCCTTTCTCCTTGGGAGTCCACACTATTACGTACCGCACAGTGAATTCACACCGTGCTTTCACACACACACACACACAGAGAGAGAGAGAGAGAGAAAGAGAGATGCACACCTACTCGTGTCACCGCAGTCTGGAAAAATATATATATATATTAAGGAACCACAGCAACGTCCTACACCGTTACGTGATGGTAAGAGGGGTGATGTGTATGGCTCCCGCTGCGTGCTGGATAACGAAGAAGAAAGAACGAAGGCAACAACAACAACAACAACAAAAAGTGAGCACCACAATTCCGTACACCAGATAAATTGAATCTCAGCTCCGCATAAGAACATAAGAAGGATCCAGTTATTTTTCATTTTCACATCTTCTTCTTCTTCTTCTTCTTCTCTCTCTCTCAACCTGCACTTAGCGCGGCGCACGCTACTCCAGGTGCTCAGCATCCAACCGCTGCAACACTTTCCACTCCTCCTCGGTGTATCCGACTGCGCACAACTTGCGTGCTGCAAAGCGCCGCTCCTCTGGTGAAAAGAGGCCTTTTGGATTTGCACAGCCCCCCGCCGCCAGCAGCGCAGTACCAAGCTGCAAGAGCAGCGACTCCTCTTCCTCGTACACCACACCGGCGTCGGCCATGGCTAAAGCGCCGTTGCCATGCGACGTGCTCAAATGAGTGTCGGGGATCAACCGTCCAGGCGCACTAAACGACTGACGTGCTAATTGTGGGGTGGGAATGGGCACCGACATGTGCCGCGACTCATTTGTGTCTTCTCCCCGCGACAGATCATGCTGTGCCGAAAAACACGTGTCACCACCCACAGAGGAGATAACAAGCTCGTTGACCGTCACACACACAATAGGTACGGTGCGGCCAATGGGACCATGCAATAGGCTTTGCTGATGCTGCTGCTGCTGCTGCTGCTGCTGTTGCGTGGATCTTGAAGGCTCATATGAGGAGAATGAAGAACCTGCTCCTGCTGCTGCTACGTGAAGCGTTGAGGAAGAACCCGCCACAAGAGATTTCATCGGGTGGGTGGTGGACCCTCCTGCCATTATAGTGAAGGACAACGCATCGGACTTCACATGTGATTCAATAGAAACCCGTGTACTTCCATCCACAACATAGCAGGTACCGTCGGTGGTGATAAAGACAGAACAGAACTCATCAGTGTTCACACGGAAGATGCGAACACGCTGTAGGAAACCCTGCTGCTTGAGGGAGCCAGACGCCACACAAACGATGGGCAGCGCGGCTTCGGTGGCATGTGTTTCCACACGTTCCTTGTCCATTCCCATTGCTACAGCTGATGCGGGAGCGGTAGCTGCATCATTCCCGCAACCAAGTGACATCTCAAATATGGACCAACGACCGTCCTCAGTGGCAACGGCAAACTGCACACTTCTGCTGCCCACTGCGACATCTACCGCGACGGAGAGGCGGATATCCTGCTTCGGTACGCCCGACATGGAGAATTCCTCCTCGCCCCACCGAAGCGGCACTGCACATGCAGCGTTAGCCCGCTTAAGGACTGGCAACGGCGATGTGGCCGCCGTCGCCAGCGGCACCACATCCCGCAGCATGGCGTGCGGCGTGTCGCAGGAAAGTACGCGGCTGTCCGGTGACAGCACAAGCATGCCACTGTTTGCGCTTCCCACTTCCACAGATACGGAGCGCTGCGGAATTCGGCCAAGCGGCATCTGCCACAACGGATACAGNAGCGCATCCTTTCGACGCGTCGATGCCCCCTCCAAAACAAACATCTCATTAGTGGGTAATGAGGGAAACGGAATTCCGTGATTCTGCGCAGGCACCGAGGTAGAGTCCTCCTGCATCACCACAGACCGCACTTCACCCGGACCTCCCCATTGCATCACATCGGCGTAGGACGCATTCAACAAAAGAAGACTGTGGCTGCAGCTCACAAGCAGCAACGACTTACCCACAGCAGCATGCCTTCTTGAGTCGCACGAAGTTGTTCCATCACCAACAGCAGTGACACTGGGAGGTCTCACTGCTGCTGTGGTTTGGGGGGTGGGCGAGGAGGCATTCGTGACACACACATATGCATCCGTGACGGTCGGTAACGTAAAGTACTTCATCGACGACACCGGCGCATGTACAAAAAGCGAACCAAGACACTTTCCATCCGCCGTGAGCGAGTATACGTACACGCGACGGTCGTAGGAACCAAGGAACATCATTGTACCGCCTTCCTCTGTGGCTATGTCCCCGCAAAAGCAATTTGGTGGAATACTAAAGACGTACGAGGCGCCACAAGGTGTCTGAGAAGTTTGTGTGGCACCTCTGGAGTATGCCCCATTGTTATTGTCCAGATGCGCCATGTGCCCTCCTTCCACTGGTCTAGCTTCGATTGCAGTACCAAAGGTTGACGACCTCATCCTGCTGTTGCCGCTGTCTCCGCCAATGAGAAACCTCTCCGTCACCTCGCACTGCCCTTCGAGGGTCACCAGCACGAGGCGGTGGTGCTCCACGCAGTACAACACAACAGATATAGTCGCCGCGATGGTGCGGGAGTACACCGGCGCGCGGTGGTCTGGCTTCACCACCAGAAGCTGCCCTTCCGACGTGCCAAGAATGACCTCCTCAACACCATCCCCATCAACGTCCCACACGACGAGGGCGTTTGGCATGACGGAGCCCTCGCGTGCCATGCGGCGGAACTCCCATGAGTCCAAATGAATTGCTGGCAGCCGCTGCACGCTTCCAAAGCCAACACCACCATCACTCTCACGCTGGCCGCCGCTGGCGATTGTCTCCACCTTTAGCGAAACGCGGTCCTCCGACATGCACGCTTCCCAGACATATAAGAACGAAAAGGAACACCACAAGCATACACAGAGCCCCCAAAAAATAAAAATAAAAATAAACTCCACATACACATATATTGAATGTGCTAATGTGAATGTGCATATATGTATGTGAATGATAGGGAAGAATCACACTTCGTACACAGAAATTCCCGATGCAGACACTGCGTTGGGCATAAAAACAGTATCACAAGCAACAGTGAAACCGTGTACAAGTGTATTTGTGTGTGATTGCAGCTACTGTGCCCGGAAAACCTTCACGCGCGGATCCCGTGTGCCGGAACCTTCGGCGCCGTGGAAGCGTGGCACCACGTCGCTCTCGCGGTAGACCTCATTGAACTTCACCTCCTTCTCGTTGTCCACGAGCATCTCGCGCAGACGTGTGAATTCCTGCTGCACATGCCGCACACGCGACGCTTGCACGCGACGACCACAGTTCACGTAGTTCACAAAGTCCTCCACGACGTACGGCGATGTGCTGGGTCGCTGCGTCGCCTCATTCTGCATGGCCGCGGAGAAGTCATTTTCGTCGAGCGCACCATCCTCCTTGTGCTCAGCAAGGTGCAGCTCCCACTCCTGCCGCTTCCGCGCAGCCAGCAGCTGCAGGTGGCGCTTCACCACCTGCTCGTACGCATTGCGGTGACGACGCGGATGAATGAGACTCACAGTGCCAGACTGGAAGTCATACTTGGAGTAATACTCTGCAAACCGCTGAAGGCAGAAGTACACCGCCTCGCCCAGCTTCTCGTCGTCGCCCTGCAGGGAGTCGTAGATGGGCGGCAGTGTGAAGCTCTCCAGCTGTAGCTCCACGTCCGGTAGCGTCAACTCGCCAAAGTCACCGGTCGGCTTCGTGAAGACGGGCAACAGACCGAGTTCCTGTAGCACCATGAGCGCCATCGTTGTGACAGTGAAGCTATTAAAGGTGCTGCGCTCCGGTGCAATAACTTCGCGCGCCTTGCCCCACTCCTTCACAAGGTGAATGTACGCCCGATAGAAGTCAGGGAACACACCGCGAATGGCGGCAAGAATTTTGGAGTTCTCCACCCCACCCACGTTGCCGATGCTAACGTCGCAGTGCAGGCCCGTGAGGCTGTCGGTGAACTGTACAACGGGAATACGGGCGCGTATGTAGCGTACTTCCTCCATTCCCATCTCTGCCGCCTCCTTGGAGAAGCGTATCAAGCGCTTGTTATTCTGCTCGTCCACGCGCTCGAGCCCCTGCAGCCACGGCGAAAATTTTCGATACGTCAGTGAGAGATCCACGTCAGACGTTGGCTTGCAGAAGCCACTCACGTGTGAGCCAAAGAGCTCCACGTGCGCCTTGTTCACGGAGCGCATACCAATGTCGAGAACGCGTTCCTGGAGGTCCTTCAGGATGACATCATGGTCCGCCGGCGGCTGCGCCGCGCGGTAGTGCGCCATCATGTCCCCTATGAACTTCCGCTTTGCTGCGTTCATGGTTCGCTGCGCCTTGGTGCCGGAGGGCGTCAGCTCCTTCTTGCACAATGGCTGCTCTGCAAAATCGATGTGTTGCGAAGGGACAATCTGCACCCAATGACACACACACACACACACTCACAGACCTCCAAGGGGGAAAAAACCAAAGAAAGGGGCAGTGTGGTAGACACAAGGATAGCGAGTGCCTGATGCTGCCGCTGCTGCTGCTGCT